AGGTCTCTCTGTCCTCTCTCCCCGGCTTTCTCTTTGTATCCTAGCCCTGCCTATCTTCCTGACTCTACTGACCAATCAGTGTTTCATTTATCAACCAATAAGAGAAACATATACACAGAAGGACATCCCCCATCATATATTCTGGTCATAGGAAGGCACTGGAGGTCTTCTGGCAAAGTGGGGCATGACCAATCTTCTTCAGAAGAAAAAACATCATGTTGGAAACATTGATCATACCTACCACACAGTGTTGGGCACAAAGGAATGCTCACCTATAAACAAATAATAATCATTTACAACCATAGTATGGGTATAAGCGAGATCAATTGTTTCTCTGATAGAACCCCTCATACATTTAAAAGTCTAAAAATACAAATAATCTCTAAAGAAAAATGTAACTATTTTCTAAAGTATTGCCTTTGTGAGCATTTTTATATTTCAGTAGTTATAAACTATTGGTGTTGGAAAATAGACACTGCCTGATGACGATGTACTGACGAGCACATATTTGTCTTGGCTCATATTGACATGCAACAGAGCAGGATGAATATTTGCAAAAAGCAAGCCTGTATGTTAACAATGAACCAATCAAAGGGCACTGCCATCTGTGTGAAGTGCTAACTAGATATCTCAGCCACTTAGATGTAAAATAACACTATCAAAATAGTAATGCTAACACAATTCTGTACTGAGTGTTGATTTTCAGCCTTTATTTCTCCTGGGGGTCTGCGCGTCCTTGAAGAATTCACATCCTAGAATCTCACAATGTTTTCTAGCACTAGTTTCCTGATCTGCACATGCCTCAGATCATGGGAAGAAGCAACGAAGGCAGGAGAGGATGGAAGCAGGCAGGAGCCCTAGAGAGGCCTGAGGTTGCTCGTCATGGTGGAACTCCATTCTTTTCTGATTGTGGGTTGGTGCCCCTCTTCGTTCACAGGGAATTCATGGTGGAGAAAATCTCAGCTACCCCCGATGATGTGGGGCGTTATGCTGTGGAGAACTAAAATCAAGAGCTGGCAGACGGGAGAGAATTTAGGGGGCAAAGGAGACTGGATGGTGTGATTGCTATGTCCTTCCCTGCTGGTAGACTCATGAGATGTGAACTCTCTACTTTCCCAGTGACTCCAGCAGGTTGTTTATCATATGCCAGATGCTTGTCCTCTGCCAAAATAAATCCAAGGAAAACCTCCCTTTCGTGCTAGTTAAGGTTTACGGCTATTCTGAGCATCTCTGAGTCCAGGAGAGCCAATTAATTTAGAGACACACCATCCTGGCAGATGTGGTGTCACCCAAGTTATGTTTCCTTCACTCTTGCTTCCTGTCTATAATACTGAAGGCAGCCCAAACCTTCCCCAGCTAGCTGGGTTTTTTTTTCTGTGTGTGTGCTTGCTTCAGAGCTGCCAGGGCATACAGTTGGGAATAGCTCATCAAAGCAACTGGATAAGAGACAATATCCAGGAACATCGTACCTGGGTCTTGCAGGCCACAGGATGAGCTACAATCTCTGGAACTTTGAGATTCAGCTCATAGTCTGAGCATGATCACATCCCCCGCATTTTAAAAGCCCGCTCTTTCAAAGGGTCTGATGCTCCTCAGTCCCCTTGACCTTTACTTTCTATTTTTAAACATTTCACTTGGCAGTCTCTTTCAAAAACAGGATTACTGTAATGGTCAAGGGACAGTAGCCAACTAATTTCTAGTTTCTTATAAACAGAAGCAATGGGTAAAGATCACAGCATGAAGGATTTGGCTCTTCTTAGAGGGAAGGTCACCAACACACAACTGAGAGACACCCCACACGAAACTGCCTTCCAACCATTGTTGAAAGTTCAGGGCCTGTTAATTTCTATTACCAGTAAAAGTGTCTGTGCCTAAGGGTGCAGGAACAGAATAATTGGCCCCTCATGGTCATCTGTAGCACTGTATAGTTTTATTCCTGCCGTGCATAAAAACAAACTCCTTACACGTAGAGCTTGAGCCCTGCCTCATCGGGAGAGTATGTGTTCTTGGCAGGATTCAGGATTTAAGCCAGCTACATTCTCCAAGAAAATGACAACACGAACCTCTGAGAATTCTTAGCCCTGATGTGTTTTACATCACGGTCACATATTCTCTATGCAAATTTCCACTGCTTTACTGTGTTGTCGACCAGGAATCAAACTGATATTTTCCTTCTTGAACTGGAAAGCATCAAGTACATGGCTTACAGGAGAAGTAAATTTATTTCTGGTCGAAAAACAAAGGCATTAAAATGCCAATTAACTATTCAGCTTTGGCAGTCCTTAAGGCATCAACCCTAAAACAGGCCTTTTCTTTGGTTATGTTAGTAAAATGCTGAGGGTTTCATTTGTACAGAAGAACCTATTTTTATAATGTATTTACAGCAGCTCCATGGTTGTGGATTTGTATTTCTAAACTGGAACAGGTTAACATATTGCAGAGCACAATTGGCTCAATCTTCAAGGTATAAGAAAATGCTGACAAATATTCAAATGGGAAATGGAAACTCCCTACCTCGCGGAACCCAAATAAACTGTAAAAGGTCACACCACCACAATCCTTGGTGCAGGAGTCTGAAAGGCATAGTTCTCCATGAAGGATCTTGGAGCTGTGCGTGGCTGTGCCTCATCTTACAGATTTGTGTTCACTTACACGACCACACATTTTCTCGGAATCTTCAGACGATGGCATGGTTCACTTACGACCTGTCGGGCGCTTCGCAACTCTCATCACGGGGATAAGCAGAAAGGCCTTCCGTTTGTCTGCTCTTTCCCTGATAGTAACAAGGTTATGAGTGCAGCACAGTTTTTCTGCCATGCACCCTCAGCCCCTTCGAGTTTCGTTACGTCCACGTTTCCCGTGCTTTCCGGGAGTAATTAAGCATTGATATTTCACACAAAGTTTGTCTTTGCTTCGGGACAAAGAAGGAGGCGGTGAAGACAGGCTGGCTCCGAGAGGCTGGTGAAAGAAGAGGCGTTCACTTTTAAAGCCACACCCTCAACCTGCTTATCTTTAAATGTAACAGAACACAGTTGAACAGAAGCATCGCTAGACCTCTGCGTTGTCCTACATGCTGTGCAAGAATGCAGAAGCAGAAATGAAGAACGACAGGCGCGCAGGGCGTTGGTGGCGCATGCCTTTAATCCCAGCACTCGGGAAGCAGAGGCAAGCTGATCTCTGTGAGTTCGAGGCCAACCTGGTCTACAGCCTCCAAAACAATACAGAGAAACTGTCTCGAAAAAAAAAAAAAAAAAGAATGGCAAGCACTGTGATGGTTTACGCTAACTGCCAAGGTGCTGACATGGTCCAGACTCACCTTGGAGACACGTCTGTGGCCTGGCTGTGTCTGTAAGGGAGTTTCTAGATTGTGTTTATTAGAATGAGTCAAAAGATCCACCCTAAATGTGGACAGCGTCATTTCACGGACTGGGGGTCCTGAGCTGAATAAGGAGAAAATAAGCTGAGCACCAGCACCCACAGCTTGTGCTTCCTGGCTGTGATTTGACGCGATCACCTGCCTTACGCTACTGTTTGGTGGATGGTACCCTCAGACTGTGAGCCCAAACAAACCCCTTCTTCCTTCATGATCTGTAGATGTTTTACCACAGCAATGAGAAAGACAACTAATGCATGCTTCTAGCTTTCTTTGGTTAGTTGGTCTTGCTTTTGCTTCTCCTTTTTTTGTGTGTGATTTTTGTTTTCTGTTTTCTGACAATAATGCCAAATGTTGTTTTTCCCCCTATTATTCTTGTCCCTTATTTTCTTCAAGCTCTTCTTCTAGCTTGAATCCTATTTTCAAAAGAGGAGAAAATTAAAGACCAATTGAGATTGCATGAATCAATCTGAAAGTAGTTAAGTTTCAAAGGAATTGTTCCTTTTTATTCTACTCTTGTGTTTTAAGGCATAATAGAAAGAAAGGTTTTAGCATATTGTAATTGCTTTTAAGGCAATATAAATTGCCAAGCGGCAGACAGAGTAAACAAATTCCTGTTACCACTTGCAAGCATTGTCACCCATACTCTATGAGTAGACTGTCAGGCACACTGAACTTGACATGTAGAAGCTGCAAAATGCAAAAAGGCCCCCTGCTCCAAGGTGCTAAACACATGATTACATCAGCACTCTACATTCTAGTCAAGTCTACAGTGAGGATTATTAGTTTATATACAGAGAAGGAAAGTGCAGGAGAGATAGTTCAGCAGTTATGAGAACTTGCTGCTCTTGCAGAGGGTCTGAATTCAGTTTCCATCATCTACCTCAGATGACTCACAGTCACCACTAACTCCAGATCCAAGGATCTAACACCCTCTTCTGGCCTTCAAGGGCACCTGCACACATATGGATACAAACACACACACAGACACACACACACACACACACACACACACACACATGCACAGACACCCCTTAAGAACTGAAATGCCTTTTTTTAAATGCACAAAGAATGTTCCAACTTAAGTGGTTTATATGGTGTAGAGCTAAGAATTGAGTCCAGAAATGTCTTGAAGCAAACAAAACAGTTTCTTGTCTTTACAATGTCTTCCTTCATATTACCAGGGGGCATTCTGGGGTGGGTTGGGATCCATACATATGTATGTGATGGATTGGGGTAGATAACTTGACAAAAAGTTGGCCTTCATAGCTAAATTACAATGTAATATCATCCCTTGTCAAAAAGTGTTTATGAATCCTTGCCCATAGTTTAGTAATTCTGAGATTTCCTGACTTAAGTGTTTGTTATGGAATTAAGAAGAGCAGAAGAAGAAAAAGTACATCGGGAATTGAAAGAAGAAAGGGCAGTGTTTTTATTGATTCTTCTCTCTTGGAGGCTCATTAGCTATCAGATGAAATTTGATGACTGCCAACAAATACACAGCACTCTTCCCATCTTAAGCTGCTAAACTGCCCCCAGGCATGACATACAGATTACTTATTGTTCCTACTGGAGGAGGTTTTAAAAGTATCTCGTTCAGACCTAGAATTTTTTCTCTCTCCTCCAGGCTGCTGAGGGAGGCACAAGCTGAAGACTGCTTTAAAAGCTGGTATCAGAAACTGTCGGCTGCTCTCCAGTTCTGCGTCGGGGAAGCCTTGAACGATGAGCTTTCCAAGGAGCAGAAACTTGTCAAACTTTTGGGGGATATTGGCGAGAAAGTGAAGTCTGCCAGTGACCCCCAGAGACAGGTTGGTGAAGACATCAATCTTTAGCATACTGTAAATGTCTACCTTTGAGTCAACTGTTTTCAGTTTCATATCGTGGAAAACAAACTCCTCAAATATACTAAGTCAGAAAACTTTCAAATTAAGTATTTTTCCATTAACTTTTCTTAAAGCTAATAATATTTTCAATCACCATGACACAAATGACTTTGGTATGTTAGCAGGTGTGTATCACACCTAACAAGAAGATACGTACTTGAAAGCAACAGAGTCCTGATGAAATACTATTTCTTTAAATTTTATTTTGCTCTTAATTGTATGTTTGTGAGCACGTCCTTGTGTATGTCCACATGAATGTAGGTCTTCCCACAGGCCAGAAGAAGGCAGCAGAGCCATGGCGCTACAGTTGTGTGTTTCCTAACTTAGACTCTGGGAACAGAACTCAAATCCTCTGGAAGATCAGCAAATAACCTTAGCTTTTAAGTACCACTGTGTGATCTCAACAGACCCCTGAGGTTACAGCCTTCACACTGTGACACAGTCAGTCTTCTGGGAGAAGATCACAGTCTAGCTCACTATTGTTCTAAAAGGCATTTTGACAACAAACAAAAGTAGTTAAATAAACCTTAGCAGTACTATGAGTAGTCATTTTTATATTAAGATCAACATGTAACAGTGGTTCTCAACCTTCCTAATGCTGCACAAACCTTTAATATAGTTCCTCATGCTGTGGTGACCTCCCTCACCATAAAATTATATTTGTTGCTCCTTCATAACTGTGATTTTCTACTGTTAGGAATAATAGTATAAATATCTGTTTTATGATGGTCTTGGGTCACCCCTGTGGAAGGATTGCTCAACTCCCAAAGGGTTGCAATCTACAGGTTGAGAACCATTCACATATAATAACTAAAATATTCTGCCAATTTCTCACTGGCATAGCTGCATCTGACTGTTCTTTTTCTTGACTTAAATGGAACACATTGGATCTTTTTAATTATCTGCATCATTAGCTCCCTTCATTGAAGAGAACCGTTAAGGAAGTTGTTTTAAGTTTGATGCTGCATAAGCAGGAGGGCAGTGGCCACCCACCCTCTGCATAAAGAACATTACTCAATAGCAGTTGAGTACTTACCACAGACAAGAAGCTAAGGGTAGAAACTAAAGCTAAAACGTAATCTTGTCTTCAAGGAAACTCATCATTCCTGTGCACTGTCTAAAGTCAATAAGAATGTTCAACGAGACTATATGAAAGTAGCAATATACAAAATGTCCTAAGTTTGTTTCCCACTAGGATTTTCCTACTGGAAATCTTTGTTTTTAGTAAAAATACCTCAGGAGGATGCTGTAGAACTAAAATGGACAAATATGAGATATGTTCTTTAAGTAAAATATATGAACACCCCAAGGATACTTCACACATTGAAAGGTAACACCGTTTAAATCCTTGGATTTCCCCATTAAAAAAAATTAAAAAGAATAACACATTCTATAATTTAGTAGAAATTTCTAGAAATTTGGGTTTAGCTTTGTTTCTCATCCCCTACTTTAGAATTCCTCAGTGTTCAGGTGTGTACTATAACTATATAACCCTGGTACCTCTTTAACAGCTTACATTAAGCTCTAGAGTGACGCTGGTATTCCTTTTTCACATTAACTGTCAGTGTTGCTAAAAAAAACAAATATCATATGAAACTAAGAGGTGGATAAACAAGAGGCAGGAGGAGTAATGGATATCTTTTTAAAAAACTTTTACGTTTTATTATATTTCAGTATTTTTTATTGTTTGAGAATTCCATGAAGGTATATGGTGTGTCTTTGACCAAATCAACCCCAATTCTGTCCCCTCAAATCTTTCTGTATTTTCCCTAACATTTTTCCCTCCCAACTTTATTCTATTTTTTTTTCAAATCAGTGAGTCCACTTAGTACTTCCAGAGTGTGAACAGGTGTAAGGCCATCCACCAGAGCATGGGCAACCCATCATCAGGGCTGCATCTTACAGGAAGCTGACTCTCCCTCTACCAGCAGCTGCCAATCACCAATAGCTCTTCAACTAGGGATAGGACTTTGTGAGACCCTCCCCAGTCCATGTTAGGATGTAGGTCTCATTCATGCAGACACAGCCACTGTTAGTTCATGTGTGCAACAGCCCTGGCATATCAAAAAAATGTATTACATCAATCAGCAGCTACCTTTGGTTCATAAATTTTCTGCCCTGTCTTCTACCATGATCCTTGAATGGTGCTCTTGTGAATTTTATTTTGTTAGTGTTGTGTACGGGTATGATGTCTCAGGGAGTGCACACATACTGTGGTGTGGGAGTGGAAGCCCAGGAGTTTTTGCTCTACTGCTGTGGGGTCAGGCTGGCTTGGGGGTTACTTCACCTAATACCGTCTCCCATCCTGTTATCTCTTTAAAAAATCTTTTCTGTTTAAATGAGAAACACTGAGTTAAATCTAACTGCAGAAAATGGTAAAGAGATTTTGCTTACTGGGAGTGTTACCTTAGCTTCTCTAAAACTCCAGAGAAATTAGGGAATGGAAACTCAACTCCTAAAGGAAAATGGTTTGATTTACAGTCTGGCCAAATCAAGGATAGGGTGACTGCTGACTTCTCTCATTTTCCTATAAAAATATTGAAAAAAAACACAACAAGGGCCAAAAAAATATGATGCAGCTAATTCACCTGTGAGACAAATGGCCGGAACTATTGACAATATCTTCCTTGTGCAAGCACTGTGCAGTTACTGGGGAAATTTGAATTCTGTGGGGTGTGTTGATTTCAAGTCACTCTCTGAGGAGCATGGATTCCCCTCCATGATATCATCAGACAAATAGATAATAGAATCAGGAAAGATGCAGGAAAATGTCAGGTGGCATTTTCCCTCCTACTTCCTGATTCTGGAAGAAAGATTTTGTCATTTGACATGAATCAAGAATAAGAGTTAAGAAACTCTTCAGAGTTAAACTCCACTAACCACCAAATTAAATTTCATCTTCATAGTCCACACAATGAGCTTTCAAATCTTGGATGAGAAGAACTTAGAAATGTATTCACTGGCATTGCATGAACAATTTGTTCTCATAAATCATTGTTCCTGACAGCATGGTGCCATTGACGTTTGTCATTGTTTTACTAATATATATAAACATTTTTTAGCAAAATGCATTGCCATTACATATAAAACTTGATAACTATAAATGAAGATTTCAGGAAATTATTTGAAAAAAAATCAAGTGAATAATTCCTAACAGAAGGGTTTCAATTCAGTGGACTACAACCAACTCCAACCCACCTTGATTTTAGACTGTCTGACAGTTGCTTCTAGCTGAACTTGAGGTCATTGAAAAAGGACATGGAACTTTTTGGCTGGGTGTCTTCACCATCTCTCCTATGGTCTCTCCTTGCTGCTCCATTGTATGTCATTTACCACCCACCTAATCCCACAGTCAATCATAGTATCACCCCTGAGGTAAAGAGTTTATTTCATCAATACAAGGAAGGTGTAACTCAAATAAAGAGTGGAGTTCTTTACAATTTCATAAATATTGTTTTTCTGGTTATTTTTCTCACAGGATATACTAAAGAAAGAGATTGGCAATCTGGAAGAATTCTTTAAAGATATAAAGACTTGTCATCTTCCTCTGAACCCAGCCCTGAGCATAAAAGGAATAGATCGTGATGTAAGCCAAATTATTTAGTTGATAAGTGGGCTGTTTATTATTTTATTCTTTAGTTCATCAAATATTTTAAATAGTATAAATAATTCACAAATGAATATTGCAACCACCTTAAGGAAAATAATTTAATCCCACCCACAGCATATATTATATTTGGATCATTGTGCTGAGTTGGAGAAACATTTATCCTGCAGTTTAATTTGTTGGCTTAGAAATAAACTGTCAGTTTATTGAAAAATGAAAAAAACAGCAAAGGTATTTCTTACACTGAGTGGCTTTGTTTTACTACATGAGGTGGTTAAATTGGTAACTTCATGCATGAAACTTTTTCATATTGCTCTGAGTTATTAAGGGATGTACCTGCTTGCAGAACTGGTTACAATTTCATGTATATTCATGCTATGTGTAAAATATGTGTACTACATTAATACTTTAGCTATCTATCTCCATTTTGATTAAATTGAATATGTATCAGTGTCCACATATAAGCGTGTTATATATTGTGATTTTGCCCACGCCTGTAAAGTCTTTCCTACTATTTTCAGACTCATGACTTCTTTAGCCTTCTATTCCTAATCCTCTGTCATGTGTTACTTCTTCAATAAATTTCCTCTGACTTGGAATCTTTCCTTTTCCTTTGTTCTCACTAAGCTTTATTATCCTCCTTCTCAAAAAATCTAGAGTAGAAAGACACTGATAGGCAAAATGATTGATAAGTGAGATTTAAAAGTGAAGAGGTTAAGCTATCATGCATGAGCAGAAAGTGATACTGAAGTCTAGTCATAAGACAACAAACGCAACCATTAGGAGAAAATCAGACGACAACTAGTGTAAATATAAAAATATTGCTTAAGATTTTATTTCATCCCTCATCTCTATGACTTTGTTACTGTCAAGACCCCTTACAAATTTTCCTGATATTCTTCACAAACATATTTGGAGAAAAAAAAAACAAGACACTAAATCCTATAAATTGGCATATATCCATGTGGGTTAAAATTTGAAACATAACTAGTGTTTTAAAAAATGTTTTAGTTTTCAAGTGTTAGCTGCATTCAATGACTAATAAATAAATAAAGACTAAGCATGTTAGAGATGTTTAATATAGAAAGAAAAACATGATCACCAACTCCAGTTCTTGGTTTTTGCTTCTTTTTTGAGAGAGTAGGGAGAAGGGAGAGAGTTTAAGGAACAGAATGATTTAATTTTGGCAACTACTAAAATTTTAAGTACATTTTGGTTTAGACATGCCTTGGAGTAGGAGGTTTCTGTAGGCAGTGTTTGTGCTAAGGACTTGGGAAGCCAGAGTGAGCTCCTGGGCCAGCAGTCAGCAGTGTGGGAGGGCTGTATCAAGCTACACTTCTTTCCTACACTGGAAGTACTGCCCTGCTGCTCAGGAGCTGCTCCAAGTAAACCACCTCCTGGCCCTATTTGTTGTGAATACCTCTGTCTGGAACAGAGAAAAAGATCTGTGACACAACCATAGACAGAATTGACATAGTCATAGCCATATGACATTCTTGTGGCAGGGTTTAATCTGTCCTCCAATCCTAGTGAGCAGTCAGGTGAGAAACATCATAGCTGAAATGAATGGGAGAAAGCTCCCCTTCCAATACAGATGTTTACAGAGCATTCCAGAGTCTACACTATGGAGAAGTCATGTGCAAGCCATGAGTGCAGCATGGCCTTCAGTTAGAGGAAATGTCTCATTCATCATCAGAATCTCCGTGATGGGAGACAAACACTTACATGTAGGCAATTTGGAAGACCTGTCATTTAGAACTCTTTAATTGTTTTAATTGTTGACTTCAAGTGAATCATACCACAGAAATTCTTTAAATGCAATGTGACATGACATTCAGTCTTTTTCTGTGTGACAGACAACACACAAACAAAAACCACTCTCTATATGTCTAGTTATTTAACATGCAATGTTAAAATCCACACCTCATTATCCAACAACAAAAAAATCACACTTGGAAGGGACTTCATAAACTCAATGAATATGTGTTCTTCTGTTGTAGTGCCAGTCTCTTTGTGAGAGACACCTTACACACTACTTAAGGAAGCTATTTGGTGTATGCAGACCACTACCTCTCATAGCTTGCAGTATACCAGAGAGTTCACACCGGAGTGAATTCAATGAGTTCAGTCAATTTGGGAAATCTTCAGTCCAGGTTCTATCAGTGGGAGAATTTATTTTATAAAGCATAGCTCTCAAGGGCAGACAGATAGGGACTTAGAAATGAGTTTTGTTCTTTCTGCAAGAAAAATTCTCAACCATACCCCCCAGGGAACCCCTAATTGTACAACTCCTCTATTTCTATTTGAGCTGCTGAGGTATGATCAGTTGAGAAAGTTGAAAGTCTCTTAATGAAGTCTGTCTTTGTGGGTGGAAATGCGAGGACCAAGCATTTTATTTACTTAAAGGTTTCTTTTTTTTCAACTATTTTTATATCTATGTCAATCATCTCTGCTTCTCAAGGACAGAGGTCATACCTTTTCCTCTCTCTTTCACCTTTTATCTTCATTCTAGTTTTACCAAACATGAAATAATTGGCAAGACTTTGATTCAGTCCCCCATGCCCCTTGGTCATGATCCTTTTAAGACACCTTTAATCTTCTACTCTTAAGTTGTCTTTTATGGTTTGCCTTTTCCCATCCAGAAAATCCTTCCTCTGCCTATTTACTAGTATGTTTGTTTCTTATATTCTTCAAGATCTAGGTCATCTCCAAATGACTTTGCTCCTCCGATGTTTCTTCATTCAACTGTGATAAATTTCTTTGTGAATTTTCAAGTTAATGCATATGCATATATGTTCATGCCAATTTCCATTGACATTTTAACTACATGCAGAGAGTCTTTCTGCTAGCATCCAGATAATGGTCTGCACATTGCAGTTGTTGATAATAGAGTATTTTGACATGTCTTTCAAAAAATACACTGTTTGTGAAAGCGAGAAATGAAACAATGGAAGCAGAATAGATCCACGTAAAATAAGAGTGTCTAAGGCATTTTTCAGTCACATTCTTCTGTTCTCTTGACCTGGAATTCTTCAAAACAAGCCCTAATAATTGGAATTCAGAATTTACCTAGACTTATTTCTGTCTAATATAGGATTCATTAGCTATATAACATAAGATCATAAGACTCACTAATAATTCTATAGCATGACAAGACGATATAATTCAATAAAGGATCATGTGATTCTTACGGCAGAAGCTCATGCTTCTCATGCAGTCCCATCTTTAAAATTATAAAACTCAAATTGACTCGGCAAGCCAGGGTGTGTGTTTGGTTAGAAATTAGATTAGGTTTGTGTTGACAACTAAGTTAAGAAATAGATTCCTTTCTTCTCAGTTTATACTGATTTCAGATGTCAGATACTCATATTCAGACTCATTCTTCAATACATATTGATGTCATATTTTACTGACTTGATGGATTGAACATGCCAAATCCCTTTCTTTTCTTTAGTATTGATATAAGTCTTTTCCTTCAATATGAATTCTCTACAACTCTATGCACAGGATGTCCTTTCAACCCTCAAATAAACTGGGAAAATAAACAAGAGGGAACGTTGAGTGGGAATAGTCAACAATGGAAAACTTAAGATATAAATAGGAAATGTGATTAAAGAAGTAAACTATGCTGCGTTACTAGCTACACAGAAAACATCCACTAACAAAGAAATGTGTTGATTCTTTAAGTACCATTTTGCTCTCAAGCTCAACAGAATGCATCTCATACTCATTAGCTCATGTATCTGTTACTAAAATCAATAAGATAAGGTTTCTTATTCTCTACAATGTAGTAAAGACACATTAGGCAATAATTTTTAAATCTTATTGCTAATGCAAAAAGGAGGCAAAGACTAGAATTCTGATTTTTCTGATCCATGTTTCCGTAAGATGTGTTCCAAACTGAAAGATAAAAAAATTTAAATAGCAGATTTAGCTTTCATATCTTAGTCAACTATTACAAACACCGTGTCTATATACATCTTGGTTTGTTTTCAGTGTATCTATCTCCATTGCTTGATGTATTAGTTACTTTTCTGTTGCTGTGGTAAAGCCCCTAAAGGGAGAAAGGATTTGATGAGGCTCACAGTTCCAAAGAGATACAGTCCATCACGGTGGGAAAGGCAGGATAGCAGGTAGCTGAAGCAGAAACCTGGCTCATCACATGTCTCTCCACACACAGGAAGCAGAGACAGGGAAAGCAGGAAGCAGGGCACAGAGCCCATTCCCAGAGTTACTCTTCCAGCAAGACTCTATCTTCAAAAGTTCCCATAACCTCCCCAAACAGCACCACCATCTGTGGATCAAGTGCTTCAACCTATGAGTCTGTGGAGGACATTTCTTAGTTAAAATACCACACTTACACTATACAGAGGTTGTTTGCATGCTGGACAAGATATTGAGGGATGGTACATGACTTCATCTTGCTTTTCTGAAGGGCGTGCAATTTAAAACTTGAGAATTAGTTCTGGAATTTTCCATGTAATAGTTTAGAATATGGTAGATAATTGTATTGGAAGGTTTTTAATCTACTTAAAAGCTGGATTCTCAACTTCAAAGTACAATAGTTAACCCTTCCCTTATTTGGAGAGGGCATGTTTTATAATCTTCTGAAGAATATATGGACTCAAGTCTACAAATATGGTGGTTTTCCTCTATGTATAGCCTGTCCCATGTGAAAACACTGCACAAAGGTTGTTAACATACTAATAAGATAGTGAGATGGTACATGACTTCATCATGGGGCTCAGAAGGATGTGCAATCTAAAGCTTGAGAATTCGCTCTGGAATTTTCCATTTAATAGTGTGGACTAGGGTTGACTGTGGGTACCTGAAACTGCAGAAAGCAAGGTGTGAAGATAGGTAATCTGTGACAAACACTTGTGGTTAGGAAACTAATGTTAATTTATTTTTGACAAAACAATTTTTGCTTCAAAGTTTAAAATTATACTTATTTGTTTTGTTTACTCATCTAGCAAATTCTTCCAAGGGCTGTGATTTTTGAAAGGTATTGTCTTTGCCTTATTTTGTTCACCATTTTTCTCTTCTCCTCCTATAGGCATGCTCATATTTCACATCTAACGCTTTGCCACTGAAGATCACTTTCATCAATGCTGATCCGATGGGTGAAAACATCGGTGTTATTTTTAAGGTACAGTAACTCTCCTGAATCCCAAAATTGATTCCATAAGCAGAACCATTGATTTATTGCTTACAAAAAGAAATAATTGCAGTTATTTTCCTTTGGCAAAAACACAGAGGTTTCCCAATTATTTTAGAGTCTGTCTCTTTACTGAATTACGGAGCATAGCAAGCTGATGGGCAATAAATCAAATATTACTGGCTAAATGCCAAGTATCTTTCAGTTCAAAGTTGAAATCTTAAACTAAGTTTGAATAAATGAAAGCATAGTATCACTTTTGAATGGCAAAGTGAAATGTGTGAGAAGCTTCCAGAAGCAGAATTTTCTTTTGGCCTAGATTTAAAAAGAAAAAAATTATTGGTGGATTTTACGTGGAAGCTAGAAAGAATAAACTACTTTAAGGTAGATTTTTTTGTCCACAAGTACTTGCTTATTTATTATTGTATGTACACAAAAGTACATACACAGACACACTCACATTTATGGTGGAGCATGAATAGAGGTCTTGTGGGAGTTGGTTTTCTTCCTCTACCATCTTGGCCCTGGGAACTGAGCTCATCGAGCATAGCCTTTACTCACGGAACCATTTAAGCATCTCATCATCCCACCAAACATGTTTATTCTTGGTTTTGTTGCTGTTGCTTGTTTTTCTTTTCCTTTTTCTTTTGAGGAGAAGGTTTCATGTAGGCTCTCTTTGAACTTCTGATCCTGCAGCCCTCTACCTCCTCAGTGCTAAGATTACAGGCTTGAGTCAGCACTTGCCTATTTCAGTAAATTGGATTATTTTCTTTTCCCTATAAGTCAAAAATAAATAAATAAGGAGTCTTTCAGTCTTAATATGAACTCACAGGAAAAGAGAAAACGGCAGTAAGAAAATTGTAGATGGGGCAGGGCACAAGGAGACACCAACAAGGAGGAGCAAGTAGAAGTGCCAGTCTGCCAGTCATCAATTAGAAGTACCAGTCTGCCAATCATCAAGTGGAAGTACCAGTCTGCCAATCATCAAGTAGAAGTGCCAGTCTGCCAGTCATCAAATAGAAGTACCAGTCTGCCAATCATCAAGTAGAAGTACGAGTCTGCCAATCATCAAGTTGATACAGGCAACCATTCAGCAAGGTCCAGGGTGGATCCTGGCTAATTTTGGAAATGAGGATGGTGATGCTCACAATTGACATTTGGCTCTCAGTTTTAAGCACCACTGATCCCAAATGTCTGTTTTTCACTAAGAAAAAGAAACCTTAGTATGGGTTGTCTTTATATAAGTTAGGAGACTTATATAATGTTGAATAATCAAACTCTTAGTTATGTGAAAGCACAGAATTTTCCCCTTTGGGACCAATTGTGTTTCCTTCACCTATGATGAAAGCCACACCTTTATTGCTTCTTGTTTTCATAGACGGTTTCCTCTGATAACCACCTTGCATCATCTGCAGTAGAGGTCAATGATGCACAGGTACCACATCAGACGGTTGCTCATTATGGCATAGTGAGGAAGCCACCAGGATTCTAATTGCATCTCTGTGTTGACATCCAGACATTATTCTGACCCTGGCCCCTGACAACTGGCAGGGTGCTCATACCAGCATTCAGGCAGATACTGAGATGGCTCAAAGGGCCCTGTGTTACATGGCTACTTCATGCATTACATGGTAATGATGTAAGGACTCTGTATGCATGTGCAAGTTTCCCCTTTTAAGTAAGTGCCTGCCACCCCCTCTCTCTCTTCCATCTCTGTTACTGGTTAGCTAACACCTACTCCTCTCTGTTCCCTTTCACTAATACACTCCATGTCGGTTATGTTGAGTTTTTGGTTCGTGTTTCATCGCCTGCAGCCAAAATTGAAGAAAATTAGCAACACTCTGTACATAAGTGATGGGAGATGCCATTCTGTAAATCTGTCTCTTATTTGTTGTTGAATAAAACAATGTTGGCCAATAGGGAAGCAAGAGAGGTGACTAGGAGTCGAGGAGGATTCTGGGAAAAAGAAACACAGAGAGCCACGATGTAGCCGCCATAGGGGTAAAAAGTCCAGACCCCTTTCTCTGATAAGAGAAATACTTAGATTAACAATTATGGGGTAAATACTTAAGTCAGAGATAGCCAGTAAGAAACCAAGCAAACGGCCAACAGCTTAATAATTAATATAGCCTCCTGTGTGTTCATTTGGGACTGATGTGGCTCTGGAACCAGGCTAGTGGGAAGGCTGCACTCTACACATAAGCTTATGACAGAGCTGGTCAGTTTCACTTCCAGATCTCCCTTGGTTGAGCTGAAACCTGGGTACACATTCATTGTGCCTCTCTGCATTAGACTTTGAGTCTAGGAAACTGTGTATGGATAAAATATAAGGAGATTTCTATTCAGAGTAACAAAACAAGGAAAACAACCTTAAGTTGAGTTAGAATGACTCAAGCGGGAAGGGGCATGTGGGCCACACTGGGATGCTTTGAATGGCACTTGGTGTGAGCTTGCTGTCTTGTTTCGACAGGCTGGGGATGATCTCCGGCAGGATATGCTTGTTCTGCAAATTATTCAAGTGATGGACAACATCTGGCTGCAGGAGGGCCTGGATATGCAAATGATCATTTATAGATGTCTGTCCACAGGAAAAGCCCAAGGTCAGTACAGATTTGAAAATGAGGTGACTTACATTATTTATCTCACTCATTCTCTGGTAATAGACCACAAACCTACAGCTCTTAGGCTCCACTTCCAAAGATCCAAAGACCTATGCATGTTCCTTCCTAAGAAAGAACAGTTTTCAAAATTGGAAACCAGGATGATAGATGTTAAATATTAGATATTAGATGTTAGATATTAATTTTGACCTTACAGTTCAGATGTTAACTGCAATGTTCTTCACTTCCCTCTAGGAATTAGTCCCTTTAAATGATTACCCAGTTTTTCTTCATTTCCTAACATAATGTATATGCTTACATCTGCAGTGATGATATGGTACCCAGCATCACAGACTAGTGCTGTAAGAGATATTGACAGCCCAGGAGGAGATTCAGGACCAAACTTCAAAGTTTGGAAGTTTTCTCCTGAGTGGTTGTCACTTTTCACAAGTATGAAGCTGACATTTCATAAGTCTAGCACCATACATAATAAAATAACCTGTCCATTCAAAACCATTGTCACCATTAACACACAATTTGCATATGTTTAAAGTAATCCTAAACATCGTTAAACACTTGGTATAACACTTACTTATTACTTGTTATTATTTGTGTATGCATGTATGTTTGTGTGTGTCCAAAATGTGTGTGGGTGGAAGCATGCATGTGGTGTTGTGTGTGTGGAGGTCAGGTGACAGCTTTTAGGATCAGTTCTCTTATTCTACGGCAGTGGTCCTGAGAATCAAGCCTGGGTCGTCAGGCTTACGTGGCAAGAGGATCTGCTTCCTGAGCCATCTCCCTGGCTCAGAAATGGCATTGAATTTTAAAGAGAATTTTGAATAGCTAGAAGCTATGAGAAAACATTAATACTTTGAACATACGTGAGTATTTCTTTTACTTTGTGAAATCCAGACATAAATGTGGAATAAAAGACTACATGGTTTAGGTTTATTGATCAGTTTTATTTTGGGAGAGTACTGATGTTTTAATTTTGCAAGTTTGCTAAATTTCACATTAATGCTTGCAATTGCACAGAGCCATGGTATTTCCTACATAGTTATACTACCTTTAAGTAGTTGATCTTTTTAAAATAGTGCTAATGGTCAATATTGATCCTCTATACTGTAAGGTTCAATAAAGAGCATTTCCTTAAAGCATATTATGTGTTTTTGCCATAGTCACCCTCATAACCTTTTGTTTCCCCTTCATGTTGTCCTCCTTCCATCCTGGGATCTCCCTTCTACTTGCATGTCATATATGTGCATATGTATATGTATGCATATGTATACATATATGTACATGTATGTATGCATATGTATATGGCTTTATATATCTATAAAAAAACTTAGGTTCCACAAATGGAAGAAAATGCAGTATTTGTCTTTCTGGTCCTGGCTTTATTCACTTGTTCTAATTATAGTGGTCTCTCATTGCAGCCATTTTCCAGCAATCAACATCACTTCATTCCTCTTTGTGACTAAATAAAAATCTATTGTCTATGCACCATATTTTTTATATGTTATATGGTTTCATTCACTTACTCTGGAAAAATTCCTAAATAATATGGTCATTTTTTTTAATTCCAAAAAATCTACTATTTAACCCATTGTTGCAAAAGAGCCATCACTATGATGGTTCTCTCTTCTCCAGGCCCTGGCAGCAGCCTCAGGGTCCTAGCCAGTATGACTTGAAAGGTTATCTGCTAAATGCAGAATCCCCTCTCAGTTGACTCAGGAACCACTGGTAGATCAAAGACAATCTTACTTCTGTTCCAATAGCAGGGGCTCTGCTCCAATCAGGTGGTCCCCAAACCTTTCCTAATTTCTTAAACACAGTCTCTGATCACTGCTGTGTTGGATAGTCATCTCCTGCTTTCCACCTTTCTGGTGTCACAGAATAGACATAATTCTTCCCTGTTCTAATCTTTTGAGGACACAATAACAAAACCACTTTATCCAGACTGTGCTTCTAATGTCCCATGGATCACCCATGCTCTAGAAAGTGAATATAAATGCTGGGTTCCAGCGGAATGCTACAGTTCCATCTATTCAAGTCTGCCTGTTTTTGCAGCATGCAACCCAGGTGAAATATCTAATAGTTAATAAGGAGTTTCTAAACAAACACCTTCAGACTTGCCCAAAGTGGCAAATGGCAGAAGATGCTCTTTACCCCTCTGTGTACCAACAGCCATCTTGTTGGCAAGATTTAGTGAGGGAATTGTGCTGACAGAACACTTCTTCAATAAAAACAGAGAGTAAAATAAATGCCATTTTCAGAAGATAAGGTTACATTTTCATTAGATTCTGGGCTTATTGGATACCCATTGTTCAAAAGGCATTCGGTTAATGGCCCTCTCTGTGGTCATAGAATTTTCCTGCTGCCCTTCATCCTCTGAGCATTTGATTGTGCAACTGTTAACTATTGTGAGGATTGCAAAGATTAAGAAATTCTAGATTTCAATTTATTTCAGTGATTTTATTTATAAAGCAGTGCCTAGAGAATTACTAAGGGATGTTCATCTCAGGAGAGGTTGAAATACTATTTGCATTGTTTTCATTGTGTTCCTAAGGTTGCTAAGATGGAAATATTTCCAAGACCTCTGATTTTCAGTCTATACAGGATAACAACCCTGGGAGCACAGTGAAAAGCCTTGACAAATGAGTGGCCATAGAGGCAAAGGTCCTGCTTACGTTCAATCAATACATGCTCCCTTCTAAATGAAATCATTTATTACAGTTTCTTATTAGTGTTGTCTGGCAGGGAAGGAGCGTGTGGCTCCCTCCGTGACTCCTCTGCTCACTCTCAGAAATTGAATATTTAAAAGAGGCCCTTCTATTAGCCTAAACAGAAGTTTATTTTTAAAATGTGTGTGTGTGAGTGTGTGTGTGTGTATGTGTGTACTAATGTGTGCATCAATGTTTTTGCATATGGGTGCAAATTCACGTGTATGCACACATTCAAAAGCTAAAGGTTGAAGTAGAATATCTTCCCTTTCACTCTCCATTCTAAATATTGAGGAACAGTCTTTTATGAAAAATTATTGACAATTTTTTCATGAAATATGATCATATGTACTCCTTTTTTTCCTACTCCAAATCCTCCCAAATATTCCTGTCTTCTGGACCTGACATGGCTATTGCATTCATGAATTTTGAGTAGCTGCGGGCTACTTTCACAAGACCTTGACATCAAACCAGCTAAAACTGAAGCACAAATGGGACATATGATATTCAAGCCCTACCCTGTACCAAGGGACTATTGACAGTTGATATTTTCAGAGAGTGTGATGACAAATCCTTGTTTTTGAGGATGTGGCCATTGGTGAGATTCCCATGCTCCCAATGGATGGCTCCCCACCCATGTGTATGTACGCAGCACTAGCTGGTCCTCACACGTCAGAAGGAGGAGGTGGAGGAAGGCAAGAACGAGTGGGGTCTCTTGCTGAACCCAGGGCTTTCAGACTTGAGGGTGTGGCTACCCACCTTACCCTTTGTTCACTTCCTGAAGGCTGGAATTCACAGGCGTACCACTTGTCCTCCTGACATCTACAGAAATGCTGGAGCTCTGAACTCTAGTTCTCAGGCTCTTTTGGCAAACACTTTCCAAGGAACCATTTATTCAGCACTCTGAACAGAGATTTTTACCATGCACTTGACGTGTGTGCTGGAGGAATTGTATTTTGTTCATGAAGGGCAGAAACACATTCACTGTTTAAATGTGGAAGTCCTCCTATACAGTTTGCCCACCCCTACCCGCCACCTCAGATACATGACAGTCAATATGCTCTTCTAGTGACCATGGGCTTCCATAGGACTATCTACATTGGCTCTCTACCAATGTTCTAGAAAGAAAACGTCAAGCTACTTCTGATAGCACTGATGGGCATACTCAAATTGATGACCCCTAGGACAAATAATCAGGAGTCCTCTAGAAAAGGTTTTACAAAAATGGTTTGAGAGGAAGAAGCCCAAATAGTGCTGACAACCACTGTTGCCACCCATTTTGAGGTCCATGGCCTCAGTGTTCCTCATCCTGAGAAGGGAGGTTAGTTTCCTTAATCTCTCTCCATTATCATCCAGGATTAATAGAGATGGTGCCAGATGCTGTAACACTTGCCAAGATCCATCTCCACTCTGGGCTGATAGGACCACTGAAAGAAAACACCATCAAGAAGTGGTTCAGTCAGCACAACCACTTAAAGGAAGATTATGAAAAGGTTTGTTCTTCTGGAACTAATTTTAAGCAATTTACTTAAATAAGAATATGCTTTAGTCCATTGATACTGTGATTTATAGGAAAGTAAATTAAATCCACCTTGAGTTCTAATTCACTCACTCATCCACCATGTGAGAACAACCCAATTTAACTGGCATATTAACTAGATGAAAGCCTCTGCATTTTTCCCTTCTGGATGAAGTTCCTTGCAATGAATAAAGAATCTTTACTCAGATATCTCTTGCTCACAGAAATCACATTCTAAAGATGATGCCTTATGAAACTGAATCCTGCCAGTAGCTTCTATTTTCACACAATCTCCAGTTTTTATAAGTAAACCCCTTTGCTGAAATTTCTTCTGTTAAGCCCTGACTTTTCATCTACCATTGTTAAATGGTGTGTAGAATGTAAGATAGACGATAGAAATAGATACAGATGGATGATAGACAAATAGATAGATAGATGCATAGATAGATACATAGATAGATTGATTGTTAGATATAATGCATAGATTGATAGGTAGTAGAAATAAATGTATATAATAGATCTATAGATTATATATACTAGAAATAGATAGATGTCATATTATTATAGATGCTTTTCTGCTTTGCTGTTGTCATATTGTGTCATTGTTTTTCAACTGACAGGCCTTGAGGAACTTTTTTTACTCTTGTGCTGGCTGGTGTGTGGTAACATTCATCCTGGGAGTCTGTGACCGACATAATGACAATATCATGCTGACAAAGTCAGGCCACATGTTTCATATTGACTTTGGAAAATTCTTGGGTCATGCACAAACATTTGGCGGTATAAAAAGGTCAGTTCACAAGCATTTATTACAATAATTAAGCAATGCCCTAAGTAATATAGAGTATGTAATGGCAGAGGATACAAATAATGTATCAAATCCCCCAGAGTGACATAAGTATGATTATAAGTCTAATAAAACGGAAGGAAAGATTTTTTTCAGTAAATTATTAACAGAAAAAGAGTTCCTTCAAGATGTTAAGGAACCATAGCGGTCTTCTTTCGTGGGTTACTAAATCTATTTCAACTGATTGTTTCAATTAATGTTTTTGTTTTCTCATAAACTTTGAATGGGAAATTATACACGAATTGATGCGCCTGATCCATCTGGTATATTGCTTGTAGGGGATAACCAGCAGTATTTTTGCATAGTACAATTAGGCAACTCTCCAACCTGACTTAGCCTTGAATCATCCCTCAGATATCTAGTGAGTACTCACTATGGGTAGAAGGGTAAACAACTACACAAACCCTGGCTCCCCTCACTGCTGTGGTTAGTGTGCAAAGTGCCTCACAGAGGCTCCCGCTCTGGATCCATGGATCTACAGCTGATGACTCTCATTTAGAAAGTTCTGGGACCCTCAGGACATGGAGCCTGACTGAAAGAAGTAGGGTCACTGGAGAGTGGTTTAAGGTTATTCTGTCCCTCCCCACCATGTCCTGTCTGCCGTCTATTTCCTGACTGTAGAAGGATAGAACACAGCCTACGCTCTAGCCACCATGCTTGAACCTCTGTGGTGAACTCTATTCCTTCATACTACATGTTAAAATAAATCTTTCCAGGTATTTTGTCAGGATAATGAGAAAGGCAATTAAAAGTGGCATTAAACTAATAAACAAAGACACGGTGGGAGGACATAAGAGCTCCTCGCAGGAAACACAAAGCAAATAGCTGGGGTGAAAGTGGCTGGGGCAGGCAGGCTGCTTTAAGGAAACTTCTCAGAGGTGAAGACAGAAGTAGAGTGTCAATGAGCAGATGCATCATGGGGGGGGGGGAAGTCCAAGGAGACAAAACGAAACAAAACCAAAGAAAAACAAAACAAAATCCCACTGACCCAAGATTTCTTGAAACGTAGAATTCTCAACCGTGTGCCAAAGCTGACCCTGCAGCTACTGTAAGTTTTCTAACTTATAAGAGAACAAACACATCTCAGCTACTGCTATGAAGGATTTCATACCCTGCACATAAACAAGTGCTCCCCTCTTATTGCTGTAATTGTGAGATTAAAAAGGATTGACACTAGCCGACTAAATCAAAGTGCATCACAGCCCCAGCATTGCTTAAGGATTTGGGGACTACTTGACTAATTCCTGCAGTGGAAATAATGAGGAATTTCCCAGTCCTCTAAAGCCAAGTGGATTTTCCTTTGAAGTATTGCTTAATTACAATCTTTGTTTCTCCATTTTCTCTAACAAAGCCATAAACAAAATTGATTACGAAATCATGCACCCACAATCAAATTTTCAGTCAGTTCTTTGGTAATGCTGTCTATATAGAAACTTCTTCATTGTGAAAGAGAGCCTGTAGTAATAAACTTGAATGTGATTAAATCCTTGTTGGTAACCTTCTCTTATAAGGTAGGAAATTAAGAATTAAATTAAGTTAAGAAGAGCTTCATTTGTAACCACAATTCCTCTTCTAACTCATTTTTTCCAAATTGTCGTTTATTGTTACACTGGCAGTTCATATGGACTTCAACTTTGGCAATGATAACCTTACACTGAGTCATTCTGTCTGTTGTTCCAACATACTTTTTTGGTTAAATTTGTTCTTTGGCAATTTCAAGCATAGATATAATCCATTCTGTTTACTCCCACTCCCCCACTCTCTCTTACATTCCTTTATTCCTTCCACTCCTCTCACCCATGCCCAGGCCTCCCTACAGTTAGTTGCTTTCCCACATTTATGCCTTTTTGTTTTACTTTGTTGCCCATTGATTTTTAACTGGATACAATGTATGGCCAAGGACTTGGAACTATTCATTGGAACCTTATGGACTCAGTATCTGGTACAACACTGAAGGCAATGGCTGTCCCTTCCCTAGAATCCACCAGTTGCCAATAGTTCATCATGGAAGTTACACTGGTTAGTTTTTATTGTCAATGTGACACAAACTGAAGTCGCTTGAGAAAGAGAAACCTCAGTTGAGGACATGCCTCCATCAAAATGGTCTGTGGCTTGTCTGTGGGACATTTTCCTGATTGTTATTGGTAAAGGAGGACCCAATGCATTGCGGATGGTGCCAACCCTAAGCAGGTGTTCCTGGGGTTTGTTTGTTTGTTGCCTGTGTGCTCACATGCATGCGCGCACGTGTGTGTGTGTGTGTGTGTGTGTGTGTGTGTGTGTGTGTGTGTGTGTTATCTGAGCATGAGTTAGAGGGAACTAGCCAGCAGACAGCATTCCTTTGTGGTTTATTAATGAATTATGACCTAGAAGAATAAACAAAAATAAACTCTTCCCCATGTAGCTTTCTAGGCATAGTGTTTGTCACAGCAACTCAAAAGCAAATTAGATTAGAATGATAGGACCCCATGGACCCCTCCCCAAAACATGATGACTTTTGACAGTCTTAAACAGGTCCAGCGCAGTCAACTGCAGCTACTGTGAGATCGTATTTGCAATGGATATGCCCTACCCTGAAGATTGCTTTCCACATCTTTTCTCCATAGTTCCCAGCTTACTCTTCAACCACTTTCTGCAGGACCTCTAGGGTGCCTCCTTTAGGACTGAGCACACGGCCTGCATTTGTTCTAAGAATATTGAGTAGCCTTGAGGTTTGGTCTTTGGTTCACTATGGTTCACTGACTGCATGGGATGTTGAAAGGGCAGCAGAAGTGAGTTTAGGCAGCATAGTCCAGGGCCCCCTACCTGTCTACACAGGTACCAAAGGGGCAATGAAAGACTGAGTCTTTCCTGTAGCTTTTTCTACATAATTTTAGTTCATCATTTTTTTGCAAGAAGTATGTTATCCCATGTTTTGTTTACCAAAAACAATTAGTATCCAACACTACACATTTTTTCCTCTTAGCTGTCGTTTCTCGATGTCCAGGGACTTCTGGAAGACTGAGGACACATGGTGCTGTACAAGGGTCTGGACAAGAGTGTTTTGCATTTAGGAAATTCGTGGTGAAGCGATCCTCAGCTGATAATCACTGTCAGCATGGAGATCTCATGGGGGGTTAGTGTTCATTCCATTGTAGAATGCTCACATTGACACCGTGGTTATATTGCTCGTGTGTGGTTTCCTGAGCTCCCTAATTACACAAGGTTCTCTCCTACTCAATGGAGACTCCAGATTTGCCTTCCCAATTAACTCATGGATATTAGATAGGAGACTTGTGTTCTTTCGGTTGGGCAGCAATATGTGCTTTCTGGAATGTAGGTCATTTGTGATATCAAGGAAAAGGTAAGCTTAAGTATCCCCCGTGCACCTCAGCCATTCGTGCCTGCTCTAATGATGCCATTTGCGATTAGGGACGTGTGAAGTACATAGTTTTCAGAGGTTTTTAAAACAACACATCTTAATGTTGTAATATGTTTCTTCATGACCCAGACATTTCAATTTCACAAAAGTAATAAAAATAATCTTGATAATAGTGATGAAGTGTGTCTCATTACCCAGTCCTGAATTTCAGTTAGTGTACCAAGTACATCATTCAGACACTCAAATCTGTCAATCCTGAGATTAAAATCTCTGGGCTTCCATTTACTGACTCTTATCAGTCTCCCCATTAGAGGAAGCGATACTGTGCTGCTCATAGATTCCAGCAGACACATTTTATGGTCAAGTCCCCGTCAGAAAGTGGTGCTTCTCTTCCATTCTGCATGCCCTTCCTCCATCACTGGTATTGAAACGTGTACGTCTCTCCAAATTGCTGTGACTTTGATACAGGCACAAAGCATGCTTTCTGTATTGGAGTATGAGCTCATATCCTGTGAAAATGGTCAAAAATAACTTTGAAAGCCTAATGCATAGTTGACACTTGATAGCTTCAAGAATCGAGACAGAAATACCTCAAGGCAGGTACTGTTATTTTCTGTTTTGCAAGTGAAGGCATAGAATAGTCTTAGTTGTTATAATGTTTGCAAGGGCACCAGTCAACAGCATCATAACTACTAGATGTCGTCATGAAGCTCCCATTTGTCCCCAAATCCCAACACAGCTTTTTCTCCTCTGCCTTGGGGCAGGTGGCAATTTCTTTAGCTAGTACCCTTTGTTACATTATCACATATTTACAGTCTTGATACATATATATATATATATATATATATATATATATATACTTAAAACATACAATCAAATGCCTAGTAAGATGTCTGAACTGTTGAAGATGCAAAAACTAAGGCTAAGTGTGGGAGTAACCAGGGTTGTTCTCTTTGATATGAACCTATTCTTTTTAATGCAAAGCAGGCAGAACTCTACACTGTTTTTGTTTTTTACCATAAAATATTAAACAGTTATGTATAATAATGCCTAGGATGTGTGACTTAACTTCGGAGCCTACTCATGTCCGTTCTATAGACTTTAGTATGACTAGAGGCCACCACGAGTTATTGAGGTAAAGCCTGTGATATTATGTAGACTCCATGACTCACATTTGAGGAAGGTGATTTGGAATTACTGTGCCTTAATTCATACATTCTTTAGAAGCCAAGCCTTCTAAAAGGGCTGGAGAGATGAGTCAGTGGGCAAGGTACATGCTGTCAAGACTGACAACCTGAGTCTGATCTTGGGGATCACATGATAGAGAGAGAGAACTGGCTTCTGCATGTTGTCCTCTGACCTGCACACACATGCCATGACATACACACCAGTGCGTGTGTTTATGTGTGTGTGTGTGTGTGTGTGTGGTGTTCAATGAAAATGGGAGCCATTTATTTTCTAAGTGTGTACACCTTTATTTAAAGGGAATTTCAGCAAGCAGGACCCTTCTGAATTTAAGGACACTGCCCCTCATGCAGTCACACTTCATTGCGGCAGTAAGCATGTTTCCCCCATTCCCTTAAGT